TAAGAAAATTTTCTTGTACACACTTAACAAATTCCTCTGCATCCAAGCCCTTTACACTATGGTAGTCCCAGTCTATGTTTGGAAAGATAAAATCCCCTACCTTAACTACCCTATTATTCTTACAAATTTGTTTCTCACTTTCCCACTGACTATAATGGGGGGTGGTGGGGAAGCAGTGTCTATTGTACAATCCCAATTAGGTGATCATCCCTTTCTTACTTCTCAGTTCAACCCAAATAACTTCCCTGGACCTATTCCTAGCAATATCCTCCCCAAATACAGCCATAATGTAATCCCTTCTCAAAAATGCCACTCCCCTTCTCTCTTGCCCCCCTTTCTATCCTTCCTATAGCATCTATACCCTGGAATATTAAGTTACCAGTCCTGTCCATCCCTGAGCCATGTATCTGTAATTGCTATGATGTCCCAGTCCCATGTTGCTAACTATGCCCTGAGTTCATCTGCCTTACCTGAGACCGCTGTAGAGAAGAATCTTACAGATTCACTACCCTCGATCAGAAGAAATAATGGGTGATTTCTTACTTTAAGATTATTCCCTCTGATCTTAGTTTCTCCCGAAAGAGGAAATATCCTCTCCACATCCACCTGTCAAGCCCCTTAAGAATCCGATATGTTTCATTAAGGTCACCTCTCATTTTTCTAAACTCCATAGGCGCAAGCTCAACTTACTCATACGAAAATCTTACCATTCCCAAAGCCACCCTTCCCTAGACCACCTCCAAGGCCCAGCATATCAACCTGGGAAAGAAACCAAACCTGACTAGTGCCTTGTATTGCTTCAGCAAGACTTCCTTATTTTTATACTTCATTCACTTTACAATAAATGCCAATATTTCATTTGTTTTCCCTCTTAGCCGTTGTAAACAAATGCTAGATTTTTGTGATTTATGCATGAGCACTTCCAAATCCTTTTGTGCTTTCTGCAGTCTCGCTCTATTTATATAACATTCAGCTCCTCCATTTTTACTGCCAAAAGACATAAAATCTGGAAAAATGTGAGGTTAATCCAACTGCCAATGTGTTTGCTCATTGAGTTAACCTGTCCATACCACTCTGCAGATTTGGTCTTTCACCCTCACTACTTGCATTTCCATCTATTTTTGAGTCATCTACAAACTTGGCGATAGCACTTTCACTTTCCGCATTCAAGGCATTAATGAGTAAAGCTTTTATTTATTTATTTTTGTACATAACAAAAAAAAATCAAAACAATTTGAAATGGTTTCACAGAGTTAAAAATACACTGACACTTACAAACGGCATAGTAACTAGTCAACAACATTGACAAGGACTGGAATAAATAAATATTTACAGGGGTGACTAGACTAACAGCAAAATGTCAAAACAAGGCAATGAGAGAGGGAGTGGGTCAGGAGAGGAGAGTCACATTGTAGAATCACACAGGAACATCATGTAGAAGGTCTCAAACAGACTGTATCAAACGCAGAAATTGCTGGAGAAACTCAGCAGGTTCTGCAGCAGCAGTGGAGACAGAAACAGAGGTAATGTTTCAAGTCAGGTATGACCCTTCTTCAGAAGACTGGACTCAAAACACTAACTCTGTTTCTCTGTCCACAGATGCTGCCAGATCTTCTGAGTTTCTCCAGCAATTTCTGCTTTTGTTTCAGATCTTCAGCATCTGCATTTTTTTTTGTTTTTTCTTATGTACTACATAGTAGTAAAGGTGCTTAACTTCGCAGAACAAACAGCTAACTTGGTGATTGTCAATTTGCAACAAGTCTAGATTATTGAAGTCAACGTTTGCCCTTTTTCTGTTGGGCAAGGGGTGATGGTCAATCCTTCAAGCATCCCTTTTGAAGATTATCTCGCACGGAGAAAGTAAAATGTTTTCTTTATCGAGGTGCAGTCGAAGCAGTTTAATTGTTCGAGGCTGGCACTTACAGAGGGATGCATTAACACAGCGGAGGTCAGACTTGCTCGACCTTGCCCTTTCTTAAAGGGGAGGTGTACCCCACATGACCCTGCAGTCGGTGATACATCCAGAATCATGGATTATAATGAAGGTGTCCGTGCTGGCATTCCCTGGTTAATAGGCTGAGAGCGGATATTTGTAATCACCTTCCACAAGAGGGTGCACTAAATACCCGCTCACAAGCAGTTCCAAATCAACAAGTTTTTCCAAGGACAGGACAACCGTCAAAGCATTGATGACTGTATTCATTGATTGTTCTATAATTTTAGACAACTTGCAATTCAGACAATGAAACGTGTTGTCATCTTTCATAATTTTACACTTTGATCCAACACTTATGACAGTTGACATGTTTGATGGTGCTTTATACCACAGGCAATACTATCTGACCACTGAATGGCCCCTCCTTAATGTGGGGGTAAATGTGCCATTAATTTTTACAGTCCTCCCTTGCTGCCATTTGCAGCCAAAAACACACATGCAAATGCATACACACACCAGGGCAATGAAGTCAAGTACGCCAAGGCTTTAAAATCTGCCTCATCCTTTCCCACATCCTCAAAACATCTCAAGATCGGCCTGAAGTTCAGGCGGCATCTTGAAATGCTTACTCTGTTTCCCTCTCCACATATATGCTGCCAAGACCTGCTGAGTGTTTCCAGCATTCCCCTGTTGTTTTCTGTAAGGTCACATTTTCTCCCTGCTTAAAAGCTGCAGGTTTGTAAGACCTAAACCAGTTGAATAATCGTGGTGGTGTCCAGCAGAGTCAACCTTGTCCTTTCACCTCATTTTCCCGACCACAATGGGCTCAGTTATATTGCTGCATTACCATGTGCTTTCTGGAGGTGGCACCGTTGTGTTCAAATGGGCGCCATCACCACTGTCAGGTTGTTGATGGTACTGCAGGTTAGAAAAATGCTGGAAACAGACCATCCACATAGATGAATATACTGGAATATTTGCAAGCATTTCATGACAAATCCATTTGCAAACATTGGTCATGGATCTAGTGTACCTTGTGAGGTCAAATAGAGTCACTGCTAAACTGGGGTGATCATGATCATGATAATATGCCCCTTGCTCCCTGAACTGGTAAGTGGGCTCAATTATAGAAAGTGCTTAACATCGGAGGAGCTTGTCTTATAATTTTGAGCTCCTGCAGAGGCGGTCAGGTGCAGCAAGGGGGCTAGATTCAGAGAAGGAAAGCCAGTCGGGCCTACTAAAAGGCGTGTACCGCAGCCTCTTGATCGATCAGCTGGACTATTTCAATGTCCCAAACCCAGCCCTGGTGACTGAGCCGAGTGGCTCAAACCTGGAATCAGCAAAGCTTTTGCCCAGCCCAGCCACGCACTGTACCCGAGGCCGAGCTGCTCCTTACGCTATTGATGATCCGACAGCAGCTTCCATGTCCCAGTCAGTCATTTCTCACCAAAACTGATTAACGTAACGGCAGCCAGTGAGATCCCCAGTTCTCAACTGAACCTTTGCCTTTGGCATGAAAATCCTTTGTATTGGGTGGCGCAGAGAGTTTGTTTGCTGATGTCTGTAAAATGCCTCAAATACTAATCCCCCTTTCATTTCTGTTTCAAGGCATGTTAATCTATCTCTTGACCCGATAGGTTGGATGGAATCAGGTGGCTAGAGGCCCATGTGGAGTATAAACTCTAACATGGGCCAGATGGGCCAAATGGCCTGTTTCTCTGTTATGACTGCTCTTGCTGCTTGCTGTAGGCGCAAGGGAGCAGTACAAACTGCGCCGTAGTTATCTTTATATCCTAATTCAGCTCTTTCTTGAATCCAACCTGTCAATCCTTTATTGGTGATTGTCCTTTGCATTCATTGGGATGAGGTATCCTTCTTATCCTGGGGCCTTTCAAGCCTGTGGCAATTGATTCTAGAGAAGACAGGGCAACAGAGTGAAGTGCCCTCCCCTCCAGCGCTACCTTGTGGCTCAGACTAGAAACTGGGGAGCGTTTTACTTCCGAGCATCAGTGCAAACACTCTCCGTCCTGGGACATCTCTGTGAGAAAACACTCAAGGTCTAGCAAATCTTCCCACAGTGGGCCCCAAGGACAGCAGAAACAGGGCCAGAGCCTCACAATCTCAGTTCAAATGGGCATCTCACAGGGAAGAACAACTGGGTGGGGAAGAATAAGGAGGGTGGCAAGGGTGGAGTTGGGATAGTGGGCCGTATTCACTGTCTCAGAATGGGAATCCACATGTAATCCAACCTATACTAACTATTCCAATTTTAAAAATTACTAGATAGAGACAAAGTAAGGGATCCTGCCTAGTTTCCAGAGTTTAGATGATATCAATAAACCAGTTAACCAATGCCCAGTTAGTTTATAATATCATCTAGACCACTGTATTAAATCACCATCCTCCAATTCACCACAACACTCCTCTGCCACTCTCTCCACCTCCTTCCTGCTGTCCCTTTCCCACCTTCCCTCTGTGTCAAGTGACCAATGATCCATTATCAGACTACACACACACACACGCGCGCACGCACACACGCGCGCACACACACACACAAACACTTATACACACATAAACACATACACACGCGCACACACACAAAAACACTTATACACACATAAACACTTATACACACACAGACACACACACATAAACACATACACACACAGACACACACACAGATGCACAGACACACACAAACACATTCACACACAGACACACACAAACACACATTCACACATAAAAACACACACACAGACACAGACAAACACACATAAAAACACACACACAGACACAGACACACACAAATAGACACGCACACACACAGACACACAGAGACAAATACAGGCATACGCATAGACACAAACACAGACACACAGACACACATACACAGACACATACACAGACACACACGCACACACACAGACACACACACAGACAAACACAGACACACACACAGACACACACACACACAGACACAGACACACAGACACAGACACACAAACACACACAGAGACAAACACACACACACAGACACACACACACAGACACACAGACACACAGACAAACACACACACAGACAAACACAGATACACACACACACAGACACACACACACACACACACACAGACACACACACACACAGACACACACACAGACACGGCTGGGGCCCATCTCCCTCTGGGGCATTCCTCTCTTGTTGCTTGTGTGTGCCGTGTTTTTGGTTATCAGAATTTCGTGCTGTGGCAGAAGCTGTCGGACATCATGATGTTCTTGTAGAAGTTGTTGGAGTGGGTTGGGTATTGACATGTGACCTTGTCCAGGGCGTTATGGATGGGAATGACAGGCTCCCGATGGGCATCCAGATGGTCAAACTTTGACGATGTCACAGCCGCAAAGAGGCCTCCTGAGGTGGGAAAACAAAGACACCGTTAACCTGGCAGTCAGACTGGAATGGACAAGGACATAATGTGTGCACAAGATCACGTTCAGGGAAGGGAGCACGTCATTACAAGCAAAGAAATTTTACTCTACCTTCTGAACCCTGTCTTTGATTAGGACTGTGGGAAAGTGAGGGCAAAAATAGATCTTTCACCCCATTAAGCTCTCTCTTTGTACTACTTTGGTTTGATTGTAGAGTCCCTGATCAATTATTCTGTAAATGACTCCTCTCCTGCCACTGCACACTGTCCCAGTTTGCCAAAACCTAGCTCATAATTTCACACTGTTGCTGTGGCTTTATGAGTCTTAAACGAACACAATTGGAACCAATTTTGTGCAGCAAATTAACATTGCAATTTCGGTCAGGCTATGATATGTGACGACAAAGGAGTTAGACTGAACATGCAGTGGGATACCCAGTGCGATTAAAACCATCAACCCATCCCTGTAACTAGCGTACACAGAACCATTAACAGCAGCAGAGATTCAGGAGATAGTGGACAGGGAATAGATGGACAAGCACCATTTGTCAGACTCCTTTCACCACGAGTTTCCTCTATGGTGCTGCAGCACACCCATCCCATCATCTTTACCGGGTTTATACTGTGCCTCCAGCAAAATTGTGAAACTTCCAGCCTTTTGCCTTTGATGCTTGTTTTGGTGCCCTCACTGTGTAACATTTTGAGAGTGAATCTCAGTTATAATTGTTTTAGTGAATTAAATCAAAGTACTCATCACTCCAACCCTATTCCCCATATTGCTTCCGAATCTTGGCAACTCCACATATTGGCAGCAAGCAGAATTATCACGATCAGTTCAATATTCAGGAGAGATGTTAGAAAGTACTTCTACACACAAAGGGTGGTAGAGGTTTGGAGCTCTCTTCCACAAATGGTAGTGGATGCAGGATCAGTTGCTAATTTTAAATCTGAGATAGATAAATAGTTCTGAGGAAGGGTCACCGGACCCAAAACGTTAACTCTGTTTCTTTTGCTTCACAGATGCTGCCAGACCTGCTGAGTTTTTCCAGCAACTTTGTTTTTGTTCCTGAGATAGATACATTTTTGTTAAGCAAAAGTATTAAGGGATATGGGCCAAAGGCAGGTTTATGGAGTTAGGCCACAGATCAGCCTAATGATCTCATTGAATAGTGGAACAGGTTTGAGAGGCTGAATGGCCCACTACCTTTCCTATGTTCCAAACGTCTTTGGGGATAGAAACATTAGCTCCATCTGAAAACAAGTTGTACTATCAATTTTGGTAAAATTGATTCTATATCTATCTAGAAACAGAGTCATAGAGTCGTTGAGATATACAACATGGAAACAGACCCTTCAGTCCAACTTGTCCATGCCTACATTAAATTACTAACAGTTGGCCCATATCCCTCTATTCATAAACCCTTCCTATTCATGTACCCATCCAGATGCCTTTTAAATGTTGCAATGGTACCAGCCTCCACCACTTCCTCTGGCAGCTCATTCCATACACGCACAGCCTCTGCATGAAAATGTTATCCCTTAGGTCCCTTTTAAATCTTTCCCCTCGCACCTTAAACCTACACCCTCTAGTTTTGAATTCCCCTACCCTGGGAAAAAAACCTATTCACTCTATCCATGCCCCTCATGTGCCAGGGAAAATGGCCTCAGCCTAATCAGCCTCTCCCTACAGCTCAAACCATCCATCCCCAGCAACATCCTTGTAAATCTTTTCTGCACCCTTTCATGTTTCACAACATCCTTCCTACAGCAGGGAGACCAGAATTGCACGCAGTCTTCCAGAAGTGGTCTAACCAATGTCCTGTTCAGCTGCAACATGATCTCCCAACGCTTATACTATCTGCACTGACCAATAAATGCCTTCTTCACTTTCCTGTCTACCTGCAACTTTCAAATAAAACCATGAAAAGTTGAAACATAATTTCCATTGCTCTGTGTTGTATCTAAATGATCCTACAACAAAAGACAAGGTTTCATTGCAATTTTCAGTAACCATCAGTTCATTTGAAATGGTTCAATGTTTGGGCACAAGTAAGTAAAAGGGTAAGTAAAATCTGATCAGTTCAGGCTCTAATACTCCAACCAATCCAATACTGACACAGGCTGCAATCCCACCTACCAGAAGATCCATTGGCCAATCCTGATAGCCTCCATAGTCGATCATAAAAAGCACAGGCATCTTCTGTTTGTGCAACGGTGACAAGCTGACAACAACGACCTGCATTCGGATAGCACCTTATTTTTATGTCATAAGATGTCCCCAGGCTTTTTGAAGGTTCATCACCAAATTAAATTTTATACTGAGAACATGTATAAGGAATCAGAAGGGCAGGTGACCAAATGCGTTGCCAATCAGGTAGGTTTAAAGGGAGAAAACGAGGTAGAGAGGATGAGAGGTTTGGGGAGGGAATTTCAGAGATTAGGGCCCAAGCAGCTGAAGGCACGGCCAACAATGGCACAGCAAAAATGCAAGGGTCCAGAACTATAAGCGCACGAGGCATCGGAGGGCTGGGGGGGTCCAAGAGATAGGGAGGTATGAGGTCGTGGAAGGGTTTGACCACAAAAGTGGTGTTGAAAAAAAAAATCTGGTTGATTTCATGTCATTTAGGGAAAGAAATCTGCCATTTTTGCCTGGTCTGACCTACATGTGTCCGACCCACAGCAAAATGGCTGACTTCTAGGGACTGCAGACGCTGGAAGTCTGAAACAAAAACTGAAATTGCTGGAGAAACTCAGTGGGTCTGACAGCATCTGTGGCGAGAAAGCACAGCCAATGTTTCAGGTCTAGTAACTGAATTCTGAAAATGTTCAGTTCAAAAACAATTAAGAGTCAGGTAATAAATACTTGCTTGTGGTGGCCACATCGCATGAAAGAGTTGAAGAAAAAAAAAATGCTTAAAATATGGGGGTTTCTGGTACTGGGAGTCGGTGAAGGTCAGTGAAAACCAATGGGCTAACGAACAATTGAGAAACTGATACAGTGGGGCACAGATGTACACAAAACATTGAGACTATGCAAAAGAGAAGCAACAGCTTGGTTCAAATAATCAACTGATTCCGCAGCAGTCAATATCAATGAACCATTGAAGAGCAATGTTGTTGAAGGTCCAAGTAGAATTTCCCAGCGGCAGTTTCTTGTATCGTACATTAATTGGACAAATAGTCTCTTTGCCTGTGGAATCAGTGCTTGAATCCAGGATGGATTGTCCTATCAAAGTCTCCTCTATTTAATGGTGACCCACGACAATGGGGTCATGTCAACGGCCTGGCTTTCAACATAAGCATGTTTACAGCTCAGAACACTGCATAATCTCGGCTACAGGTAAGACTCCCAGGGAAGTGGAAATTGCTCAGCTGTTCCATTGAGGTAGAGGAGGTGGAGCTCTGCCTTGTATCTAACTCTATTTCAGCTGACTTGTGATTATTTAACGTTGCAATTGGGGTATAGGTCATAAAGTATTCTATTCTCCAGCACAAAACTTACTTTAAAAAATGCTGATTGTAATACAAATTACTGGTCCAAAAGGAACAAAGTACTCCTAGTTCATACCTGCTACAGCTGTAGCAATCACATTATACAGTGACCAATCTCTGTTAATAAGGATACAAAAGCCCAGCAGAAGAGGTAAGCAAAACCTCCATAAACAAAGAACTTCAGGAGCCATAGGTTAACAGTTACTGGTTCCTCCCAAACTAAACACACCACACGCTATGTCTAAAATGAGGACGGAAGAGCCAACACAAGGATATTCGAGATCAACAGATGTTTCATCTCAGTGAATTGACAAACGCGTGGACTGGACAGGAAAGTGGAGTTGAATTAGAAGATTAGCCATGATTGTACTGAATGGCAAACACAGATTAGAGGGCCTGAATCGTCTCCCCCTGCTCCTGTCTTACAATGCCTTCTTACCCATGTACTCTACCCTAACATCATATTTTCTGAAAGACACTCTACTTAATTCACCACTGCGGCACCTTATAATAGACACATGGTGCTCAACAGAAAAAACACAATCTTCCTTTTCAAAGTATTAGATCCCCAAGCATAAGGCCCTGGTTCATGCAATGGTCATTAACACGCCAGTATCAAGAAGCCTTGAAAGAACAAGCCAGCGAGACTCCAAGATATAGATAAGGACATAGTCCCGAGACAATAGCACCAAGGGAGAAGTGTAAACTCCCATTGTGCAGAAGGAAGTCAAGCCAAACAGTTGGAGGAAAGGTCAGAGAAGGTAGCGGTAACATGCACAGAGCCCTGCAGGGAAGAGAACCACTATCAGTCTCCCTCAACAAAGCCATCAACCACCTCACCTGCCCCACCACCACCCAAGTCAAACCTTAAAGCGTGCTGAAAGAGAACGGTGCAGTGCTCAGGCACAGTTGTGTCAAACAGAAGGTAGAGGTGCAAAACCTCCACACGATCCCAGCATGCCAAGGAGAAGGTCTTCAGGGTGCAGACTAGGCATGTCAAGCAAAAGCATCAAGCCTCAGCCAGTATTGCATGGGATACTGAAGGAACGTGCCTTCCTTTTGTATCTTGACCATACTGTGTGCAAGGTGGAAGGTAGCCTGTATGTGAACACACAAGACTTTAAGAGTTGATCCAACACGTGACTACTGCCACCTCCAACATGCGTTACCTTGTAAAGGGAGCCCATCTCTGCGTATGGACAAACTGTCAGAAGACATCATCCTGTTCCAAAAACATAGCAAGATTTGTTAATCAGTGCACCTCGACAGGAAACACATTCGTGGCTTTTGAAAAGCTCAATATTGCAAACAGGATTTCATTATTTTGGGGCCTCTTGCATATTGGTGTTTACAGCTACAACAGAGTTGGATGTCATGCACTTTTTGAAGACATAACTTTCTGAACCACAGTTGGAGTTTTTTGCATGCTTGAGTATTGCCTGGAGCCAACTGCAGCAATTTTGAACGTTTTCTGCGATAAGCTGAAAAGGTCAGCAGGCTATTTTCAAGTATTGGAATCCTGGCATTGGGGAGCTAAGGAAGAATATTTCTGAGCAAGGAAAAGCAACAAAAGAATTTCCTCCCTATTTCTCAGTTGATGTGGCTGTCTCATTAGTCCAAAAGTGATCATTTATTTCATTAAGCGAAAACCTGATATTGCTAGTGAAGGATAATCAGTGTTTTTAACTTCCTACTTGCCTGTCTGTGAGAATACTGCAAGGTAATTGGCTGCTTAATGTTCCTGTCAGCATCACTGCTGCTGGAGTCCTGGAGAGCTGCTTTTCTTGGCTCCAGATTTAGACTACAAGTGGGAAAGGAGAAATGCACACCGCAGAGATCACTAGATCTTTGTGAGTGGCTTTCTCTGAGGCAATATTGAGCATCCTTACTTGACTGCTGACTGGAGAATATAGTCCAATGTTGCTGGAGGGGTGAAATGTGAAAGAAAAGTATATTTCGAAGATTGCATTTATTTTAAAGTAAAGAACAAACAGTAATGGTCCCAGAATGATCTGCAGGGTCATGCAAAGAGCCTAGAATCTCTCAGCCTTACCCTTGCTGCTGTTTTTAAAGAAGCTGGAACCAGACTTAAATTTACTTGTCCAGCTGGTGGAGTTGGAGCCGATGGAACTGGATGACAGTGATTTTCCCAGGTTTTCGGAGCTGACTTTCTTGGTGTTGTTTGTGATCGTTCGGCTCCAGTCTAGAATTGAAACATCAGAAATGGCCATTAAGACAAACTCCTGGAAATGTACTTAAAAATGAGTGATTAGCGACATGAGGCCAAACATTTTGCACACCAGGAATGGAACTCGGTTCGATTCTCAATCGCACACACAGATGGCACTGTGTAGCCGACAGTCAAGAAATGAAACAGCAGATGCTGGAAATCTGAAACAGAAACAGAAAGTGCTGGAGAAACTCAGCCGGTCTGGTAGCATGTGTGGAAAGAAAGCAGAGTTAATGTTCTGTTTAATGACGTTCAGAACATGTACTGAAGAAGGGTCACTGGACTCAAAATGTTAACTCTTGAGAAATCTTGGACAAGACTGCCATAAACAAGGATTGGATAAATTCCTGTGGTTTTGTTGTATGTCCTTCAACTTCTCTATGCATTAGGCCAAATGACCTCAGCTGGAGTACAACTGTGGGCGCTCCATTGTAGGAAAGACGTGAATTAGAATTAGGTGGAATTAGAATTAGGTTTATTGTCACATGTACTCAAGTTACAAAAGGAGTACGGTGAAAAGTGTACAATGTCACCAACAGAGAGTGCAGGAGCAATTTACAAGAAAAATTCCAGGAGTGAGAAACTTCAGTTGCAAGGATAGATTGAAGATGTTGGGACTGTTCTCCCTAGAGAGAAGAAGCTGAGAAGAGATTAAATAGAGGTTTTCAAAATCATGAACGGGCTGGATAGAGTAGACAAGAGAGAGAAAAAATATTCCCACTCATAAAAGAAAAAAAGAAGAGGGTATAGGTTTAAAGTGATGCACAAATAAAGCAAGGGTGATGACAGAAGAAAACAGTTTCACACAGTGAGTAGTTCAAGTGTGGGATCCACTGCCTGGAAGTGTGGTGGAGGCAGGTTCAATTGAGGCGTTCAAAAAGGCAGCGGCTGAGTATTTGGATAGGAATGGTGCAGGGAGAGAGGAACTAGGCAAGAGATTGGCACTAGCGAATAGAGCAGTGTGGACCCGGTGGATCAAATGGTCTCCTTCTGAACTGCAGTAATTTTGTGATCCTGTGAAATGGTCCTCTGTCCTTACCTGTAAATCTTTGCACGCTTCTACATCATGATAATTTGAGAGGCTTAAATGGAAATCGACCTGGGACCTACCGGAATTTTCTGGTAGTCGAAATTTGCCGCAGCATAGATAGCGCCTCCATTGCTTCTGTACGTTCTCTTTCAGGGCGCAGTGAAACATGAAGATGAAGAAGCCTGTGTTTAATCAGAAGGTCTCGGTTACAACAGAGAGCACTGAGTATGGCCAAAGTTAACCCAACGCCATCATTCATGTACACAACTCAGGCGGATGGACAGAAGATTCCGACCACGCAGAGTGATTGGAGAAGGTGTGGTTGTTCTCCTACAGGCGAAGATAAACATTTGCAAAATAATGAGGGGTTGTGATGAGCGAGAGAGGAGAAACCGCTTCCTTTGGCAAATGATTGGGCAGCCAGGCGGACGCTATTCAGCAAATAAGCTCAAGGGGAAATAAAGGCCATACAAATTTGGAATGCACTTTCTGAAGGGATGGTGGGATCAGATTCCGTAGCATCTTTTAGAAGGTAATTGAATATGTGTTTGTAAAGAACTGATTGGTAGGGTTTTGAGGAAAATGACTGGATATGGGACTAAATTGGAGAGCTCTTTCAAAGAATCAGAATCGGATATGATGGACTGAATGGTAATTTCTTTGGTGTGAAATTCTTCCAACAAGTAAAATATTCTACCCCAGCAATTCCTCTATGTCCCAAATGCCAGTCCCAGTATACTACCTTCCTTCCTGCGACTCCTTTACTCTGGAATTATGGTCTCTAAACTTTTCTGTTCCCACAGTCTCCTTCCTCAGGCTCAGTATGCACTATTCACTTTGTAAGGGAATTCATTGCAGGCAAGAGGCTTGAGAAGTTGTAGACGGAGATCGATTTCAATCATGGACTCACAGAAGCTTATAGCACAAAAGGGAGCCATTCAGCCCGTTATGCGATGCTACTTCTTTGAAGAAGCTATCTTGCTAATTCCCACATGTTGTCTGTAAATTAGCCAGTTTGTCTCCAACTACCCATCCAACTCCCTTTTAAAATTATTTATGGTACATCAGCTCCCAACATCTTTTCAGGTCAAGTGTTTCAGATAGTGTAAACATTTCTTGTCCACTCTCGTCTAAGTGTCCCACCAATGTTTTTGTATCAACGATCGCTGATTATTGACTAAACAAACTGGAAGGAACATTTCTTCTTAATCAAAGCCTATTTTCATCTTCAGAACCTCCATTAGGTCACCTCCTAACCTTCTCTGTTCTGAGGAGGAACTTTTCCAAGCTCTCCTCATAACAGAAAACCCTCTTTTCTTTTACTCATCTGTAAAACATGGGTGTCACTGGCTGAACCAGCATTTTTTATAGCCCGGCCTAGTTGTCTTTGAGAAGGTGGGGGTGAGCTGCTTTCTTTAACTGCTGCAGTCCATGTGAGGTAGGGAGGGAATTCCAGGATTTTGACCCAGTGACAGTGAAGGAACAGCAATATATTTCCAAATCAGGATGGTGAGTGGCTCAGAGGGGAACTTGCAGCGTTCCCAAGTATCTTCTGCCCTTGTCCTTCTAGATGGAAGCAATGGTGAGTTTGGAAGGTGCAGTCTGAGGATCTTGATGAATGTCTGCAGTGCATCTTGTAGATAGTACACACTGCTGCTACTGAGCATCAATGGTGGAGGGAGTAGATGCTTGTGGATGTGGTGCCAGTCAAGCAGATGTGGTCCTGGATAGTGTCAAGCTTCTTGACTGTTGTTGGGGCTTCACCCATCCAGGCAAGTGGGGAGTATTCCATCACATTCCTGACTTGTGCCTTGGAGATGGTGGACGGGCTTTGGGGAGTCAGGAGGTGAGTTACTCAGTGCAGTATTCCTAGCCCCTGACCGGCTTTTCTATGTGATGAGTCTGGTTGAGTTTCTGGTAATGGTATCCCCCCAGAGATGTTGATTGTGGGGGATTCAGTGACAGTAACACCATCAAATATCAATGGCAGTGGTTAGATTGTCACTTATTGAAGATGCTCATTGCCTGGCATTTGATTTGGTAACATCCCATGGGAACCCTCCTCTCTACCTTTACCAATACCTTTACAGTTTCTAAAAGAATGATGCTCAGAATTGGCATCAATACTCCAGCTGAGGTCTAGTCTGTGATTTATTTGGTTATAATAATGATACCTTTGGTTTTAAATTCCATTCTGCTGTTTATTAATACCTGTAACCCAAATAATACCTTCAACATTCACTCTCTTCACCACCAATGCACAGTCACAGCAGTGTGTACCATCTACAAGATGCACTGCAACAAATCACGAAGGCTCCTTCCACAGAACCTTCAAAGCCCATGACCACTACCCTCTAGGAGGACAAGGACAGTAGATACATGGGAACTCCACCACCTTCAAGATCCCCTCCAATCACCATCCTGACATAGGAATATACCACCGTTCCTTCACTATCGCTGGGTCAAAATCCAGGAACTCCCTGTCTAACAATATTGTGGGCATCCTAACAACTCATGGCTCAAAGATAGACAGGAAAGTGTACTGTGAGGATGACATAACAAGGATGCAGACTCGTAGGTAGATAGTTTAAGCAAGTGTGCAAAAAAGAGCAGACAGAATATAATGGGGGTAAATGTGAAATTGCTTTGGCAGCAATAGTAAAAAGAGCAGAATGTGACATAAATGGAGAATGACTACAGATGTCTGAGGCATCTATCTTAGTGCGTGACTCACAAAAGGTACAGCAAGGCAGGTTAGAGGGATGCTATCATTTAATATAAGAAGAACTTAACATATAAAAGTATTATACTTCAGTTAAACAGGACGCTGGTGGGACCACATCCAAAAAGCTTTGTACAGTTTTGGATTCTTTATTTAAGGTAGGGTGTAAATGTGCTGGAGGCAGTTCAGAGAAGATTTCCTAAATTTATACCTGGAATGAGTGGGTTGTCTTCTGAGAATAGATTGGACAGACTGGGTTCATTTCTCCTGGTGTTTAGAAGATTGAGGGGTGACCTGATTAAGTTTGTAAGATCCCAAATGGTGGGCATTGAAAGGCTGTGGGTGAGTTCAGAACTAATGGACACCATTTTAAAATTACCAGTCTGACTTTTAGGACAAAGGTGAAGAGCAAATGCTTTTCTTTCAGAGGACTTTAAAACTCTGTCCCTCAGGAAGCAGTGGAGGCAGGATCAGTGAATATTGGTAAGGAAGAGCTAGGTCGCTTCTTGTTGGGCAGAGGAATCAAAGGCTATTGGGAATAGATGGGAATGTGGAAGTGGGAAAACAAACAACCCAACCATGTTCTTGTTAAATGGTGGAGAAGCTTTGAAGGGCCGAATGGTCTACTTCTGCTCCTATTACACATGTTCATGTTTGAACCCCAAGGTCTCCCTGCTCAATGAAACTGTTCAAAGTTAGGTCATAGGTTATATTTGGATGAAGATGGTTATGAAGGGTTCTGCTATACAATGGATGATGGTTGGATGAATATAGAATGAAAATATTTGCTCACTAGTACAGAATTTGAATCTTGCTGAAAAGGGAAACATGTAGTTGAGGATTCTAGTCTTGCACTAATCCGGACAAGGCCATATTTCAACCAATCACAACAATTTATACAACAGGAGAAAACAGTGCTGATTGGCTGGAAAGTTGGCTCTCCGATTAGCTGGATAGTTGCCAGGGGCAAAGCAATGTCCACTAGACTGGGGTTACCTTGCAACGAGTTGAAGATTGCAAACAGGTACATGAAAGCCAAATTCACCGGTCCCCAGGCGAAAAACGCAAACCCCCAGGTCATCCCCAGCAGGAAGGTCAAACTGATGACACTTCGCAGGTTACGCAGGATTTCCTCCCTCATGTTACGGTTGCTTTTCTTGCCATTCCTTCCACAGATCTGCATTAACACCACGATAAACATGGCTATGTTCACCAGGAAGATGATCACAAAATAGCTCACGCAGCTGATGTAGAAAACGACACGATGGGCAATCCAACAGCTACAGGTGGGACGGAAAGGAAAAGAATGTGATTAAGATCGGAATGGAGTCAGTTGAATTTGGAGAAAGGGTCAATAGACCTGAAACATTAACTCTAATTTTTCTCTTCACAGATGCTGCCAGACCTGGTGAGCTTTTCCAGCAATTTCAGTTTTTGTTTTTGAATTTGAATTAGAATGAGCTTCACTGTCGCATGTACTCACAGGAGTACAGTGAAAAGTTTACAAGTCGCCACTTATGGCACCATCTCAGGTACAAAGATATCTGGGTACAGATTCCTGAGTCCAAATTCTTAGGAAAAAATTTAAAATTAAAAAATTCCAACATTACAGACCTGCAAAAGTACAAAATCATAGTAATAAATTAGAAAAGTAAAGAATTAAAAGGTCAGAATAACAGCCCTTCCACTGTAGTGTAATAAAAAAAGATATTAATGTTAAAAGAGAATTTAAGACAAAATCCATCTTAGTCCGTTTCACAACTCCGAACTTGAGGACCAGACCCCCACCTGTTGGGATCCCCGGGCAGACCCCCACAATGCCGAAGAAAAAAACCGCATGGAGTCACAGACCAATGCCAAAGTCACTGAAAACCCAAGCCTCCGAAAGGAGTCCCAGGAACCATGGGTCTGGGTCTACCTCATCTTCTAAGGAAGAGCTCCATTGACCAAGGATGTAGCTAATTTATTACTGAAGAAGGAAAATTAACTATGGTACTGCCAAACGTTGTTGCTGAAATAGGGCTGTGTGCTATCAATAATTAAAACAACATTATCTTCATTTGAACTTCCTCAACAGTTTACTTTAATTGAGATATTATTCTAGAAACAGAACACAGAATGTGAGCATAACGTGAGTAACGCAATGAAATATCAACAAATATTTTGCCATGGCACTGTTAAAGGCCCAGACTGGGGTAACAGCATTCAGACACGTCAATCACGTAGAACATTGTCCAGCCCTCGCTCTCACTCTGCTGTTTCTCACGCAAAGTTCACAGATACCAGTTGTTGGGAATGTAGCTGTTCTCTCAGCTGTTCCTGACGATGGAAATATGAGCTCTCAAAAATAACTTCCCACACCACTTCCTTCTGCAACCCGCAATGGTGTCTATTCCCAAATCTATGACTCAAGAGATGTCTCTTCGAAGAATGCAGTAATTCGCAACCATATTGATGAGAGGAGTAAACTGTGATATTTGAATGGAATCAAACTGAAGTTAAACAAACTCTAATCTAAAATTCAAAGTGTGAGCCTTGATAGGAAAATTGGCCAGTAATTCTCCAAAAACAAAAGCACTTCTAGGATCAAAAGTACTCAATTGTTTACCTCATTCTGGTTGGTGGGATCTTGCTATGCTGAAATTGGCTACTGTGTTTATTATCCCTCATGAATTCAATGGCTGAGGGTTCGTTGGGCAGCCCTGAGTGTGGGATGCATTAACGATGGCCACATTTGTCTGAAATAATACGTTATTTTGAGCTTTCTATGATCTGAAGTGCCCACCTGCTTCATGAAGACCACCATCATCCCAGTGCCAAAGAAAAATCATGCAGCGTGTCTCAATGACTACTGCCCAGTGGCGCTGACCTCCATCATTAAGAGGTGCTTTTAGAGGTTAGTCACAGCTCACATCATCTCCAGCCTCCCAGATTGCCTCAATCCCTTACAACTTGCCTATTGGTGCAACAGATCCATGGCAGATGGCATCTCCCTGGCCCTAAACTCATCTCTGGAACATCTGGACAACAAAGATGCCTATGTAGAGGCTCCTACTTATTGACTACAGCTCTGCCTTCAACACCATAATTCTAAACAAACTCATCTCTAAACTCTGGGACCTAGATCTCTGCTCCCTGCTGTGTAATTGGATTCTTGACTTCCTGACCAACAGACCACAATCAGTAAGGATAGGCAACAACACCTGATCCATAGTAATCCTTAACACCAGTGCCTCGCAAGGCTGTGTACTCAGCTCTCTACTATACCCCTCATACACTCGTGACTGCGTGGCCAAATTCCACACTAGCTCCATTTACAAGTTGCTGACGACACCACCATTGTAGGTGACATTATGTAAAGACAACAATCTCTCCATCAACGTCAACAAAATGAAGGAGATGGTCATTGACTTCAGGAAGCGGAGTGGAGGGCACGCCCCTGTCTGCATCAATGGTGCTGAGGTAGATATGGTCGAGAGAGTCAAGTTCCTGGGAGTGACAGTTACCAACAATCTGCCCTGGTCCACCCATGTTGATAGTACAGTCAAGAAAGCACATCAATGCCTCTAATTCCTCAGAGATAGTGGGAAATACTGATGCTGGAGAATCTGAGATAACAAGGTGTAGAGCTGGATGAACACAGCAGTCCAAGCAGCATCAGAGCAGCAGGAAAGCTGACGTTTCAGGTCTAGACCCTTCTTCATAAAAAGAAGCGTCTAGACCCGAAACGTCAGCTTTCCTGCTGCTCTAATGCTGCTCGTCCTGCTGTGTTCATCCAGCTATACACCTTGTTATCTCTAATTCCTCAGAAGGCTATGGAAATTTGGCAGGTCCATAAAGACTCT